AAGAAGTGATAAAACATGTTAAGCCTTGACTAGAACTCTGGAAAGGCTTGTACAAATCACATGGCATTGTAAGGCTAATCCTCACGGTTTGAAATATTTCTTTGGATCAAAATAGTGCAACATCTTGAATTCAGGCAGATAATTTAAATGAAAGAGCACAATCGATTAGATCAAGGTAAGGATTATGCAACGAACTCTGTCAAAAGCTGATTTTGTTATGCTATGATGATGTAACTAAATGCTAATTTTCACATAGAAATTATTACGCTGTAATAATGGTAGCGACTCTAGTAGTAATCTAGGGTCGTTACAGTTATCAAAACGATGAAACGGATAACTTACCCACAAATGGCATGTCCGACTTCATGGTATGCCACGAGGCTTTTGCTCTTCCCGTCAGTCATTACAGTTCCTTCCATACCAGCCACAATCCGATCGATTGAATCATCAATCTCTTTAGTTGAAATGGCAGCCTTACCACGGCGTCCAGCCAATATGGCAGCCTCATTCAAGAGGTTTGCAAGATCAGCCCCACTAAAACCAGGCGTTCTCATGGCTACAACGTCGAGGCTAACATCACCATCGAACTTCTTGTTACTAGCATGAACCTTTAAAATTTCTGTCCTCCCCTTTATGTCAGGGACGTCAACACTTACCTGCATGCATTAGAGTACCATATTCAAGTTTTTTTTTCCCCTCTAATAAGTACTAACTCAAACATGAACTTCAACAATGGAATGATTATTACCTGTCGGTCGAAACGTCCAGGCCTCAATAAGGCGGAGTCGAGAATGTCTGCTCTGTTCGTGGCAGCAACTACAATAATGCCAGTGTTTCCCTCAAACCCATCCATTTCAGTTAGAAGCTGGTTAAGTGTTTGTTCTCGTTCATCATTCCCACCACCAATTCCAGTGCCTCTTTGACGTCCAACAGCATCAATTTCATCAACAAATACAATACAAGGTGCATTTTCCTTGGCCTTTTTGAAGAGATCACGAACTCGAGAAGCACCGATACCAACAAACATCTCAACGAACTCAGAACCTGAAATGGAGAAAAATGGGACTCCTGCTTCACCAGCAATAGCCTTGGCTAGCAAGGTCTTTCCAGTTCCTGGAGGACCAACGAGAAGAACACCTTTGGGAATGCGAGCTCCAACAGCAGTGAACCTCTCGGGCTTCTTTAGAAACTCCACCACCTCCATGAAATCCTGCTTGGCTTCATCTACTCCAGCAACATCATCAAAAGTCACACCAGTATTTGGTTCCATTTGGAATTTTGCCTTGGATTGACCAAAAGCAAGAGGGAATCCAGGCCCACCAGGACCTCCCAACCCTCCAGATGAACGCCTTGATAGAAGGAATAGCCCTCCAATCAAGATAAGTGGGAAAGCTAAATTCCCAATTAAGTTGAATAACAGAGAGCCTGAATCCTCTTGAGCATTATGTGCAGCAAAGTCAATATTCTTCTCCCTAAACTTCTGAAGAAGCTCCTGGCTGAGACCTGGAAGCTGTACACGAACACGCTGCACCCGGTTGCCCAATTCGGGGGAGACAGCCTCGACAATTGCTATAGTTCCATTTTCAAATAGATCTACTTTCTTCACTCTATCCTTGTCCAGATATTCCAAGAACCTAGAATAAGACATCCTAGATGAAGATACCCCTTGGTCATCAGCATTGGCCCTCCCACTTCCCAATAAAACGGATGAACCAACTCCAACATTTCCAAGCAATAACTTTAGAAAATCTCTCCTTCCTTCATTCTGCTTTGATTCCAGGGATGCCTTTACCACACCAGCTTTAGCCGTTTTACCAAATGATTGAAGGCTTGTAGAAGGGACTAATCGCCTGCTATATAAAAACTTGCGCAGATTTGATTTGGAACAGTGGGAGGGCATACCATTCCCCACAAGACATGCAGATGCAGAAGAGGCAGCCATATCTGGAAAACAAAGAAGTTTGATTAAAACTTCCCAAAAAGGTTTAAAGCATCACATACTCTATAGCTCGTGCCTATTTCTCCACATTGAGCCATACAAATCTCAGACAATTAATGAGTTTAACAATAAAATCGTCTCTCCAGTGCTAATATCTAATCCATTAAAACGAAGTAGAAAGTTTGTTCATGAAATATGACGATTCAATCATGACAGAACTAGAAACAGCTAAAATCGCGACTCCACCTTCAAGCTATTATTTCTAGATCAAAAGAGTAACATAGAACCAAACGTTTCAAGCACGGTACTAATATATAGCAACCATAACTTCGAATTCGAATAAAAAACACTCACAGTAGTCACTATTTCGGTCAATACAACGATTTCAAGGTGAAATTCCAGAAATTAAATTGGAAAATTGCTTCAGTAACTGTTAACCACCAACCAGGCGCCGATACAAATCACAAAAACCTTCACATCGAGAGAGAACACAGGAAAACCATTGAAAAACGAAACTAAAGAGGAACTTACCTTACAACTCTTCACAGAGCAGGAGTTCCGGAAAGAGGAAAAGTAGCGAAATGGTATGAGTGAATCAATGTAATGGCGGAGACTAGAGAGGATTCTACGACTGGGATCCGACGCCGGAGCTCTTAAAGAGGACGGATGTGGTTTAAGAAATGAATACGTGGTCTTATCTCTGTGGTTGCTTTGTCGCCGTTTCTTGCCGATATTTTTTTTGGGTTTTTTCCCTTTTCCTATTGAAGAAAAAATCTCGAACCGTGATTTAAAAAAATAGAATATAATTATTAAATTTAAATCTCCAACCGTGACTTGGCAAAGGTTGTGAATTTTTAAATTTAAAAAAATGCTTTATAAATATAATATTTTTCAAAATTTTATTAAAAGCCATTAAAAAATAAAAAATTCAAATACTCTTATAATTATTTTACCTTAATCACTTGATATGCACCATTTTTGTTAAATAATTTATGAAATTTTTTCATAAATTTTATAATTTAAGGAAAAAAAAAAAAAAACACATAGTCAAGACATATATAATCAATCAAAAGATTAAAAAATTCGAATCTTGATCGGAAAGTGTGCCTATAACGAGCTGAGATATTATAATAAAACTAGATTTGATGATTAAAAACGTGTTTAAGAGTAATTCTAATTATCACGTTAAAAATTACTTTAAAATATATTTTTAATAATTTTTAACATAAAAAACCTATTTTTTTTACCCATGAAGAAAAAGTAGCCTAAACCTAAACTTTTGGGACGTTTATTTTACTCATTTGATGGGTGAAGTTCAACAAACTTGAACATCATTCGTCTATGAATTTCGTGATATTAAAATGGAAACGAGCTTAATAAAAAATGTTTTTGTAGGCAAATTCTTATACAAATAATAACTAATAATATCATTTAAGAAAATGAAATAAAATTAAGGGGAAAAAAATTTCGCAAGATTTTAAAATGGGAGGAAAAATAATTTGGAAATTTGGCGCCAAGGATTTTATTTTAATATATAATGATTCATGATCAGCACATTCTAGCAAAGAATTATACTGCCAAGATCAAGTAGAAGCTTAATCGATCGAAAACGCCATCGGCGAGAGGAGCATTCATGGTCACATCGAGCTCACACGTCGAGTTATTTCATGTTCAAAGAGCAACAATAATTTTTGGAGATTGTATTTCATCAATCCTTGAAATTTTTTTTGGCATTTATCATGTTGATTTCAGAGGAAATTCGAGATGGCGCCTCATTCTCCCCACAATCCGGTCAGATTTCGCAGCATCAGAGAATCTTCCATGGCTCGTATTAAGTACACGAGCTCGTCGTCGACTAGGTTACTACCCGACGCAATCGATGCAGTGTTGTTGGACGAAGCTTCTCTTCGCACTGTTCGTTCGAACAAGGTGAATCTGCAATTCGGACATTGGCCATGGCTCTTCACCCATGGCACTATGCATTCTTCGTGAAACATATGGTTGCAGGGCGTCGTCATCACTTCCTCTTTCGGCTGGAAATCTTCAAGGCAAACGGCGCATCTCTTGCCGTCTTCATCATTTTCACCGTTTCTCCTTTCATTGTAATTTCTCCTGTTATTCTCTCTGTAATAGAAGCTTATTCTCCTACTTGCGTTGTTTGGAGGATCATAGACTTTTTTCTTGAGCTTATTCAGCGCCATATTTTGTTCTTCAGATGTTAGCGTGGAGTTTCCTTCGGATCTTGGAGTTGGCCTGTACAGTTCTGCCGGTCTTGAGCTGGCCTCGATCTGCCTCGGTCTGGAGTGGGTAATGATTCTGACTATGGCTGGTGGATCTTCTAGCTGACTGAAAATTTCTCAAAAAGTGAATGAATCACATCAACACACTATGGAGGATATGGATTTTACTTGCAGGATATGAGAGCAATGTAAGTATATTTTCTCTGAAATTAACTGATATTCTCAAGAATTTCGATGTTGGTCATGACAAAATTTGAATGCTGTGCTATATATTATAAGCAATTCAATCAAATGAATGAGAATGACATTATTCGTTTTCCCTGCAACTTGTAAATAGAGATTATTGGTGAACAAATTTATGCCTAATGCGTTAAGAGTGTTGAATCTTGTTGAACTCCCTTGTGTAAAAGAATCTCCAACGAAACAGTCTCCAGCTGAGGAGGAACTGGAGCTCAGTCACATTTCTGACACTTCATAATTTGCATGATTTGTTTCCTCAATTTCTTCCATTAGTGAAATTCATGTACTTCTGAATGCTCTGTCAAGTTATCTTACTGAGTTAGATACTAGTTCATGTTATTTTCAGGCAATATACCACAAACTTTGCTTGGCCTCTAATTCTTTAATTTCACATCATATGAAATGAATCTGCAATATCAGTTTCTTCGGATTGCATATAATTCAGTGCAAAACACCAAACAACACCTAACAAAATCTACTAAGTTTTTGAGTTATCTGATTACCCGACAATTTCTAACAATCTTGCAATCATTGCTCCCCCGGTAGGCCGCCATGGAATTGGATCTAGCTCCCTAGTAGGCCGAGATGGAACTGGATCTATCCCCCTAGTAGGCCGCGATGGAATTGGCTCTGTATCTCTAGATGAATTCTGAAAGCACATGAACAATGAGGTATACGATTGTTACAATCTCTTTAGCTTCTTTCCTACTAACACATTTCTGAGAAAAACTAGGTGAACTATTCATATGGAATTTGATTTGATTTACATGTGTTCTTTTTACCGCCTGCAAATAATATTATAGGATAATAGTTCATTGCAAAACAAAAGAATTATTAACCTGCTGACCTGAAATGGTTGAGGGTGTGGCGATGTGGAGCTCATACGGTTTGAATCATTTGTGTTATATCTCTGGCGATCATATTCCCTTCTAGCCCGCCATAGTCCTGGAGGAAAATTAGTAGAACGTCTGCTCATTTTGCAGAAGTTTCGTCTTTAATCTCTTAGATATCAAGTTGTTGGTTTCGAGTGTTTGGGATTTTATAGCTCCTTCACTGCTTGAAGATGGATAATTAATCCAAGTGAGAATATATATTCCTCCTTGCCATCATCGTTTATCCGTCCTTTTTCTTTTTTTGTGCTTGGTTATCGTATTCCCACGTAAATGACTTTAAGTTTGATTCCCACTCCACTATAGATTTGCTTGCTTTCCCAGATAGAGGTGCTTGAAGATTTTAAATTAGGGGGAAAATATTCGTTTTGGAATTAGAGAAAGGAATCTTGTTCTGTGGAACCTTCATTTTCATTGCTGATTTTACACATTAAGATTGTTGGATGTTTACATTCCAAAGATGAATTCAAGTCTTTGCTTCAGCCATAGAACCTCTCTCTCTCCTTTGTTGAGTAGTAATCAACCAGACAAGTAGCCATCTTTTTAGAAGCATTCTAATGGAAAGTTCGTTATCCTTGGCTCTGCAACGTCGAAGGTGGGACTCTCTTGGAGTGATTCTATAAACTTTATTCCACAACTTAGCATACAAATATGTCCAGTTTTTTGGTTCATTTGCTTTCAAGCAAAAACGTCTCTTTGCTCCATTGAAACCTACACATCCCTTTTCATTATTTTGATCTGACTTCCTAAAAAAACAAACGATGGAGATGAGGTTGGCAAACATGGAATTTGGCTTCAGTTTGGATCAAATCCTTAGTTTCGGAGTGTAAGAGTCCAAACTCACAGTCACTCGGGCCCTTGTTCATCGACTACGCCTTTTCTTTTAATATTGCCTCCTCCGTCACTCGGGACCAACAAGGGGTAGTACAGGAATATTCACCTGTTGTCCATCGACTATGCCTTTTGACCTAATCTCGGGCCCTTGTTCATCTTTTGTAGAATCTTGCGGAGGAACCGTTAGGTTTTTGAGGCATTGGATTCTCACCAATGTTTGTGTTACTCAAGCCGACATTCTCGCTTCCACTTTGTCCACCACTACTTGCGCGGGTGCTTCCCTCTAAGGTGGAACGTTCCTTTACCGATGCAATTTTACGTCCCATAGTTTCGATAGATCGTTTAGCCCCATTCATCTTTGACGCTAGAGTGTTCGATCAGTGAACTATTACACACTCTTTCAAGCGTGGCAGCATAGGCAAACCTCCTGGTTGTCTCTGGCAAACCTCCAAGATCTTGAGGAAACTGGCAAACCTCCTGGCTGCTTCTTCTAGATATTACTACTACTTTGGGTTTTCTCTCTCGGCTTTCTTCTTAAGGTTTTAAAACGTGTCTATTAGGAAGAGGTTTCCACACTTAATAAGGAATACTTCGTTCCCCTCTCTAATCGATGTGGGACAATTACTCCATGAAGACTCGCTTTCGCTACAATCTTGCTGCTGTGTCTCACATGCGGCTTTACTTTGTCAGTTTACCATTTGGATGCCTTTGGCAGAAAGCTTTAAGCCTCCCATCAAAATTGTCCAGAGATGCAATATCTTACTTGAATACACTTTCCTTTTCACTGCACCAAGAAAAACAAATAGTTTATGATGTAGGAACTCTCGAGACTTGTAATTTTGGATCAAATTTTGTTGTTGGTTGATAGATATTTAGCACATTTTATGTACTTAATCAGTAATTTTATTCCTTGCTCTAACAGACCTGCCATTTGAAATTTTATCTCTTAGCTTTGCTAAAGGTAAGGGACTTATAAAAATGTTGAATCAAATTCTAGTTCAATGAAATAATGATTATATATGAATAATTAATTCATTGAATGAAAAAAAAAAAAAACAAAAATTTGATGAAATTCCATTCCTTTTTATACATAACCACTTTATTGTTGTTTTGCAGCTAATTTCATATCTGGATAGTATTTATTTCTTCCATGTTCATCATGACGATCTAAATATGACAAGAATTCTCGATTAAGTAAGAAGTATTAGAAGTATGTTTAAATTATTTTTTATTATGAAAGGTAAATTTAAATTTAAAATATTTGGTGTGTTTAGGTATGTACTAGCTCGTCTGATTTTGGAGGCAGTACAGGAGGGTTTTTTTTTGTCGTAACTCGTGTCTACATCTGCAGCTTCTCTTCCTATCTTAACAGAGTAAATATATTTCAAGAACTTCCCTCATTTTCCTCATCTTATTCCTCTTAAGAAACGATTGTTTTGAAATGATTATCCATAAGTGGCCAGATGTCCCAACCATGGAGCTGAAATATGGAATGGAATGTGCAGGTTTCAATGAAGCCCACAAGTGACCCTCAAATTACGGGCTATTCTATTCTATTATATCGAGATTTGTGACTTCTGCTGGCCACGTGACCCATCATGACAGACATGTGACATCTCTATCGGTTTCGTATCAAAATCAGCTTAGCTTAGCTGAATTCAATCTGAACAAAGGCTGTGAATGGGGCAACGGGTGGCGCCTAATAATGCCCACTTGTAGCCCTCTACACCTAACTTGGCGCAGCAACCCTTTGCAGAAATGACCTGTAAGTCCTCCTGCCTCTTTTTAGCTTTATATTTTTACCTACAAAATTAATTATTACCACAAAAAAAAACCCCTAAAATTTCATTAATTATTATATTAGGATTTTAAATATTTTAATTACAACAATTTCAAAAGGTATGTTGTGTTAGACGAACACGACTCTCCACAATGGTATGATATTGTCCACTTTGAGCATAAGTTCTCATGGCTTTACTTTGGGCTTCCCAAAAGGCCTCATACCAATAGAGTTAGTATTTCTCACTTATAAACCCATGATCATTCCCTAAATTAACCGATGTGAGACTTTCATCATCCAACATGTTGAACATTGGAACCTACACAAGTATTAACTCTATCATTCATGAGTAGCGTTTGCATGTTTAATCCCAAAATTTGATACCCTTTTACTCAAATTTCATGTTTAATAAAATACTTTAATATTAAAATACAAAGTGTATAAAAACAGGCTTCAGGCAGTACAAATAGGCTTGGTCTACACTTTTACTAGAAGCTTTCCAAATTATTATTTTAAAAAAAAAAAAAAATTGCATGTGAAATTAATTAATTAATTAATCAATTATTAATAAAAAAAATTAAAGAGAATCTGGGCAATTTCCATGTAGTTTCGAAGTAATAAGAAGCCGTCACCTTCGTATAATCCCCACGATGTCCCACACGTTTACGCAAAAATATAAACCAATAAAATATAATTTTATTTTCTATGATTTAAATTTAATTTATTATATATCAAAATTAATTTGTATATTTTTTATAAAGACTAAAATTAACTTTTACTATGCTAATTGTCACTCTATAGTTTTAAGAATATATTCTAATGGTATCGTTTAAATTATAATAATTATTATTATTATATAATTCATTTAAATCAAAATTAACTTTAAATTAGCTGAAGGGATCAATTTTAATTTTATTGAAAATATTATAATTAAATTTACAAATTGAATTGAAACCAAATGGACTTAATATAGTATTGGCCTAAAAAAAGGGTGAGTGAGATAACAAAAAACGAAGGACAAAAGAATATATAAAAGAAAAAGAAATGGAAAATAAAACAAATAAATAAATGGAAACACAGACGTAATTAGGTGATTGCACCGAAAGAAATAAAAAAAAAACCCGTACGACACGGCTCATTCTTAAAGACGCGTAAAGAGGAAAGGTGGACACGTGGTAGCATTTTAATGGTTGGTGTGGATACTGTTTACGTACTGTCGGTCTAACCGGCATTTCCCCAGAGAGAGAGAGAACAAAGAAGAGCGTGGTGACAGTTCCATTAATGGCGCGTGGGGACCACGTTCTTAGATTCGTTTCCTATTTTATTAAAACCAATTTTGGACTATTTACTTTTTAAGTATTTATTTCGAGGGTTGTTGAGACTTTGCCCATGTCTCATGTCCCACCCAAGACTTTTATCTTTTTCTTTTTATTATGATTTCATTTATAAAAATAAAATTTAGGTCTCAGAGTAATTTTATAATTGGTCTTTATTTCTCTAAATTATTGACTAATTTTTTTGCCCACTTTTACCAAATTGATCAGGTGATTTTGAACATGTTTGTAGTAAATATAAGTAAGTGTTATTATAACAATCACATGAAGTTCAATAATTAAAAATGTTTTAGGAGAAGTCAATATAACAAATAATGTTTTAAAATTCAATAAAGTAAACGTAAATTAGAAGAGATTAGACATCAAAATATGGAGCGTGTAGTAGACGCTCTAAAGAAGAGCGTGAAAGTGGAGGGCCCAAAGTAAATGGCGTAATAACGGCTCGTAAGACGATAGTCGGAAGTCGGCAGGAAAAAAACATTAAATGAAACCTGCAGCTGCAAAGCAACCAGTCTAGGAATTTCCGCGTGCCACGTCACTCTTACTCCCTAATAATACATTTATTTGTAATAATAATAATAATAATAAAACTCGACATTACGTTTACATTATCCTCTTTCCTCTTTTTATGTCTTCTCGTCCTTTTCTCGTGGCTTGGGCGGCGTCCCCTCCCCTCAGTCAACCCTCCCGTTGACCCTCAACAAGAATTTTTCTCCTTTTTTTATTTTTTTTTATTTTTTTTTATTTTTTGTGAATATCCAACCATCATTGAGCTTTAAATTAGTTTTTGTTATGGTTTTTAAGGAAGTTGAAAATTAAAAAGGGTTTGATAATTTTTTAATTTTGAAATTGTTCTTTTTAGATCTAAACAATAATTTTTTTTAGCATTTTAAAAGTTCAAAATATATTTTTAAAACTAGATAAATAAATAAAAATATTTTTTAAAAAATAGTTCGTGGTACCCTTTAAAAAACATTAAAAAAAACAATAAAAGTTAACAAAACAATTCCAATAATTTTATTAAAAAAAAAAAGACAAAGATCTCATAAAAAAAAATAGCAATAAACTCAAAAATATTAAAAATTAGAAAAAATAACCCTAAAAATCAGTTGGAAAAACAAAATTAGTATTTTTACCACTTTATTTTATTTTTAAATACCACCTTAAATTTCACCAAACATTTGCTTCACTTATATCTTGTAGCTTCCTTTTTAAAATAAAATAAATAAAATAAAAACTGATCCATCTCCGGGCCCACCTCCCATCCGGTTCCCGGTACTATAAAAAAACTCTTCCACCGCACCGAATATTACCCCGAAATCAGTTCAATTAGAAACATCCTACTCAGATCCGTCAACCACTCTCCGTCGCAAGAACACCAAATTAATTCCTTCAACCGCCATGGTTTCCAAAGAGAAATCCACCGCCAAAAAGCTTCCTCCTCTCTGCAACACCAACAACAATGCCAGAGAACTCCATTTCCGAGGCGTTCGTAAGAGGCCTTGGGGCCGATACGCCGCCGAGATCCGAGATCCTGGCAAGAAGAGCCGCGTTTGGCTCGGAACCTTCGATACGGCAGAGGAGGCGGCGTATGCTTACGATAACGCCGCGCGCCAGTTCCGCGGCGCAAAAGCTAAAACCAATTTCCCTCTACCTGATGAGTTGATCGACGTTTCTCCTCGCAAGATCAGCCAAAGCCCTAGCCCTAGCAGCACCGTCGAATCCTCTTCCTCCTCCAGCCAAGAAAAAACTCCCTCACCGGAGATCGTCCGTAGCTACGGCGTCGCACGAACTTTTCCGTTCATTCAGCCGCAGTTTTTGCATCAAGTCGGCGGAGGCGGTAGCGCTCGTCCTGTTTTGTTCATGGATGCTTTTGTTCGACCTGAGTTTGTTGCTCAGGGCTATCCTATTCGGTACGATTCGGCAAGGTTCGCCGGCGAGATCCAGACCAAATCGGATTCATTGTCCGTGGTTGACTGCCGGCCGGCGAAGGAAATTCTCAATCTCGATCTTAATCTCGCTCCGCCCGTGGATGCTTGATTTCTCCGCTAATTTTGTCCTTTTTGTTTTGGATTTTTTAAAAAAAAAAAAAATTAATTTAGTTAGATCTTTAGAAATAGAACAAAAAAATTAACGTACTGTAAAGAAAAATGAAAAATAAAAAATAGGGTTTTTTTTCTTTTAATTTTATTTTGGTGGCAGCTTGTGGGAGATCTAAGTTTTAATCCAACGGCTGTATCTCGTTAAGTTCTGTTTGTTATAATGCTCTGAGAAGACTGTATAGCCTTCAATTATATAAAGCTTCAACTAATCCAAAATTATTCCCCTTAATCCTATTCTAATTCTGCATTTATGTTTTTAATTTTTAAATGTATATATTTATATATGGAGAGGGTGAGAATTTACGCGATTTTCGGCTCTTTTACGGGGTTGACTGACACGTGTGGGTTCGGCCAAGGTCTGTAAAGAAAAAATAAAAAATAATTAAAATAATGGTTACGTGGTGAATTTTGAATTTGGGGCAGTACAGGGAATAGAGTAGAATAAGTGTGAGAAGAGACCGAAACGGCAATTTAACACAAATTTAATTTAAATGGGTCCACATAAGGAATTCCGCGTTGGACGGCACGTGTACTTTTCTCGTGTTTGTGCCGTCCCAATTAATTATTTCTCTTTTAAAAAAGTCTTGTGGTTTCCAAGTAAGCGACGAGAAATTGTGGAGGCGGGAGAGATGGGAGACAGTGGTGGGCCCCACCGGTGAGAATGAAACGCCAAACCACCTCTTGAGACACTGCCGTGAGGTGGCGGTTCCAGCTGGTGGGACCGCTCATTATCTGCCGTCGCCGGAATCTGCGGAGATGATTCCGTTCCCTCCTCCTTTATTTTATTTAGGATTAAAAATTGATAAAAACATAATTTTGTAATTAATCTCAACAATAAAATCTAAAAATATTCTTAAACTTAAAAATGAGTAAATGTACTTTGAAATAAAGATAAAGTTTGGAGCACTTTTTTTTTAATAATATAACTTTATTTATTTATTACAATTTTTTTTTCCTTTCTGTTATTGGAAACACGTAGCCATAGGGATGCATGCATGATGAAAAAATGGACTTTGTTGGCACCATCAGATCTCTGCATCGAACCAATATTTTGTTTTTTTTTTTCCCTTTATGGCAAATTCGGCTATTGCAAAATTACACTTCTGCCCCTGTCCGAAAAAGAAACAACCCATGTATTGAATTAAGAGTTTAATTACAATAGTATAATTACATGTACTTCATGCATTTTATCATCTATAAAACTTTGTCCTCAAAGGTAAATTCACTTTTTCATAATTTATTACAATGATTTTCATGTTCTTAATAAAATAATTTTAAAATTTAATTGAAATGATTTTAAGTAATAATAATAATAATAATAATAACATACCCGTTATTGATATAGATAGAAATTCAAATTTTTTAAACTTGTTTGGTTGACAAAGGATAGCATTATTATTTAAACGTGGTTTCAATTTATTCTTATTTCAGGGGTAAAAAAAAAATAATTTGTGTAGTACAAAAATAAAGTAAAATCAAGAAATAAATAACTCTGTTTTTTGTTTTTTGTTTTTTTTATTTTTATTATTATTAAAGGAAAAAGATTATTGAGTGGGTGAAGCGTATCGGGGTTGCGTAAAGTCGTTAAAGCATCCACGATTATAAGGGAGACCAGTTGGGTACGGAACGTTAAGCGTTACGTCCTTAATTTATTGATTTTTTTTATTTATAAATAATTCAATTATATTATTCAAAATTAAACTTTATTACATTTTAGAAAATTATCAAATTATTTATATCCGACCTATAAATGGAAAGAAATAAATCATTTTTTGGATTATTGGGCCAATCGCAGGGTACCGAACATGGCCCATTTTTTCATGTTCTTATGGTGGGATGGCCTTTTAGTTGGATAATTTACTCTTTTTTTTTTTTAATATAAAACATATAAAGATATTATAATATATTTATATTTTTAATGATTTAGATAATTGAATGTGTTTGAAATTTGAATTATATGATTAAAAATTTGAAATATTTTTAATTAGATAGCTTAATATGATTTTTTTGCTTTTTATTATGAGCTTTGAGAATATATATATATTTTTTTAATTTTATATATTTAAATATTATATTTTTTAATTTTAATTATACGTAAATAATTGTTTGTATTATTATTATTAGAAAGAGTAAATATTAAAACAAATGAAGTTTTTTTTTACAATTATACCCGAGTTTTTATTTAATAAATTTGACATTTTTTTTTTAAATTTAATCATAGCTGAAGGTAGAAAATTCAAGCGCGTATGTTGAGTTAGATATTCTTTTAATCAGATTGGTGACTCGAGCAACTGGAATAGAGTTCACAGTTCAACGAAACCTAACACTTTATTTTTGAGTTAGGTTAGGTTGTCGGGTTATTTTTTTTAAATTATTTAAAGAAGTATAGTTATCTACCGTGTATACTATGTTAATAACTAAAATTTTATAAAGTTCAAATATCACAGGTAACAACGTATTACTATCATTTGTTACAAATGGTAAATATTATTATTTTTCATAACAATCTTAAAAATAAAGTTGCGTCGAGTTGGATCGTAACCCTATTGTCGAATAGTTTTGGTTGACCTGTCGAAAAAAAATGTCGACCCCCAAAAATTCAATCCAGTCCAAATCGAAAAAAATCGAACCAACATTTGAGGGAATAGAGAGTGTAATACAAATTTTATAAATTAGGCGGATGTTTATAAGAATTCTGATCGGAGTAGAAAATTGGCCACTTTTTGCAAATAAAACGTTGAGAAGGGCATTTTGGTAAATAAAGTGTTGAGAATTAAAACACAAAGGAAAGTCGTGGGCAATCCATTCCAAAGTGGAAGCGCGAAGGAACAAAGGAAGGACAGAGAATCTGCGCGATCATCTAAGATCGGCGTTCGTCTCATCTCTACCGTTAAATTTTTCTGATACGGGGCGATAAGAAAATCCAACGGTGTGTCATCCGCGCGTACCGTTCTCCGAGGTACACGATATGTAGAATGCACATTTCAATGTTCATTTTGAGCTGCCATGGACGTTCTTCAATCTCAGAGTGGTTAGAGAGAGAGAGAGAGAGAGAGAGATTGACGCGGGGACTAGAAGAACTGGATGCATAAGAATCAAGTGATCTTCAACACATGGCGATTGAGGTACGATTCACGTTATTTCTTCTTATGAATCCGTATTCGAGTCTGCTGGTTTCTTTTTCCTTCAAATTATTTTCAATTTTGGATCGATTTTTTACACATTATTGTCATCATTTCTTTATATCAGTGCGTCTACGATGTTAGATTCGTTTACTGGAATTGGCTATAGCATAATATACCCGTAGTCGAGGATTCCATTCATGAATTCGTATCGTTTGATATTCAGAAATCTCCGTTATTAGGTAATCGGCGGTGGCGTTTCGCTGGTCGAGGTTTTTGATGAGTACTGTATTGTTTTTTAATCGACTCTGTTAGAAAACTGTAATGGCATTGATAAATTTCTGCTTGAAGAGAAATAACAAGGTTAATGGTTTAGAGAGTTGAACTTGCCGTTTGATCGAGGCAACGTTCATTAACTAAAAGTCATTTTCATCTCCATTAAAAAGATCGTTACGTAGTTTCTATTGGACAACTACTTAAACACATTGGTACTAAGTTTCTGTTAGATAACAAGTTAATGTCATCCATGAACTTGTTTGGCATAGATAGCCCATAGCAAGTTTGATTTGACTTTGCCGCTGTTTCTTTCTTTCTTTTTCTCTATCTTTTTCCTTTTTCTTTTTAAATTTATATCAAAATTCTTGCATAAATATACCAGGCTAGACAATCGTGATTATTCAGAGAGAAAGGGCAACAGAAATGTTGTCATTTGTTTCATATTTGCATAACTTTCTGTATGATCTTTCTATGGCATTTTAGGATTGACAGCTATATATGAAATTGAAATTGTACCCCCTCTCTCGCAGGATGTCAAATTCGTAAATTACTGCAGCAGAGCTTATCGACACAGATAAGGACAACATTGGACTTAAAAAGAAAATTGAATTTGATAGTGTTCTTCAAGATAAAACGATGAAGCGTTTCGTTTACATCAATGACGATGAACCATCAAATGATCTTTACTGCGATAATCGCATTTCGAACCGGAAATACACTTTATTGAACTTTCTCCCAAAAAATTTATGGGAACAGTTCAGGTAATTTTTCATTGTAGTAGTTCTTATTAGATCTTACCAAATTCTCTTTAGTTCCCGTAAAATTATATTCCAGATTTCATATGATTCTTGATCTCATTAGCTTATCTAATTGATTGAGAATAACAATGGATATTTCATTTTCTTACCTGATTGGCCCTAGCTTTCCTCTGTATACTTTTCTCTGGAGTTAACCTTATTACTATTTTGTCTTCTTTTGTCCATTTTTGAAAATCTTCTGTTTTTGTGTCTTAAAGTGGCTACTGCTGAGCTGTGTTGTCAAAACTAACAATATAGCAGTCTATATTTTTTGCAACTTTCTACTGTGAACAACCTGCTGATGTATTTTCCAGTTTTATATCATTTATACCTAGCTGGTAGATGCTCTTGAATTATACATGCATTTTCTCATTCCTAACAAGTTTTATTTTCCTTTGTTTTCAGACGCTTCATGAACCAATACTTTTTGTTAATTGCGTGCCTACAATTATGGCCACTTATAACTCCAGTAAACCCCGCCAGTACATGGGGTCCTCTTATCTTCATTTTTTCTGTGTCTGCAACAAAAGAGGCATGGGATGATTACAATAGATATTTATCAGACAAAAAAGCAAATGAGAAAGAAGTTTGGGTTGTGAGGCAGGGTACCAGAAAAATTGTAGGAATCTCTCTCAATATTTTGATTTAGCATGACTTCCTTTTCATATATAAAAAAGATCAAATTATTAATTTGTTGCATTTCTTCTAGTAGGCTGTTTGTTAATTAAATCTACTTCCTTCGAAGATCTTCAAATATATTTTTACATCATGTTAACTAGTAGTTGGATCTTTTATGGCGCTAATGAATAGCCAATTGATATATAACAGATTAAGGAATTAGGATTCTAGCATAGTTGTGGAGGTTACCGTCCTTTCTTTAATGTCAACTTTGTTGTATTCTCTTAGCTTCTTGGCTTTTACTTGTAGATTCAAGCACAAGATATTCATGTTGGTGATTTAGTATGGCTCAGGGAGAATGATGAAGTGCCTTCGGATCTTGTTTTGATTGGCACCTCCGATTCTCAAGGAA